AGGATAACGTGAAATGAATACTTCCTCCTTGTTCCTATTCTGATGCTAACACCTTCTGTATTTCTGAGGTTCTTGTACAGCACAATGGCTACTGAAGCCTGGAAAGTGGAGGCAAGCTGCTAAAATCAATCTTCAGAAATAATCAGCATCAGAATACAAAATGAACTTCATATCAATAAGCATTTTTCCACTTATAAAACATGACTGGATCCATTCAAATGCAGGATGCCAGGGCCAGACTTGAAAGCTATTTCATGGCTGTGGCTTCAGTCATGCAGCAGCTACTGTGATGGAATTTTATCCTACTGTGCTAGAAACTCTGGCTGACATAAAAGGAAAGACAACACTGTATTTAATTTTCTCTCTCCTCCACTGTAATTCTTTTTCCATTACATATAAATAATATAAGGCCACAAGGATGAGAAATAATTAACAGTTCTGAAGCCTGTTTTATAATCACAGATAATAGTGATAAACTCAAGCATCAGAGCACCCTACTGCAACAGTTACAGGACTTCAGGCATAAACCAAGGAGCATGTTATTCATGACATCACTGCTGTGATCACTTCACAGAGGTGAAGCAACCTGAAAATTAGAGGGAAGTATTTTTTAAAGTAATGCCATATTCCGCATTAAAAAAAAACCAGAAATAATCTGCAACACATAGCTTATTTTTCTCACCACCTGGCTAGCCCATGGAATCCATACAAATTTATAATATAATACGAATATAATATAAATACCATACTGAGAATAAATGTAATATTTAATATCTTTCCAAGTATAACCAAGATTATTTGGCTAGCAAGTATAAACATTGCTGTAGTTGCAAGGTACTATGTAACCATCCATAGTCTTTACAAAGAAAATGTAAAAAAAAAAACAAAAACCCAGGAACAAAATGACTAAACCAAAATCTTTCTGTTCTCTAGATGGTTTTTGGTTCAGTATGCACTAAATGTGACTCAGTGTCCTGACATGACAGCACTAGTTATTCACTAATTATCAAGCCTACAACTGATTCTATGGTAGTATTATACAAAACAAAGTTCTGCTTTTCTTCTTTTTTTTTTTTTTTTTATCATTTGGGCAAACAATCTTGCTTTAGGAGAATTATTCTAGCTCTGTGGAAAGTTCTCTTTGGCTTCCACACATACATGATGGGCATGTTATAGGTAATATACTATAAACTGCTGTATAAGTGAAAAGCTGATATATACATATCCCAGATACTAATTTTGTTTCCCATCACTTTATCACTCTGTACTGATTCAAAGTAGTAACACTTCAACAGGGACTTCAGGAGATTCTTTGACTCTACATCAGCTCCAGTGGCTCTACCAGCTACATAAGGGGACTCCTCAGACATCTAAACTGTGTCAAAATAAATTGTGTGAGCACTTCTTTTCTTATCTTTCTTTTTCTGACACTTAGGTTATCAGAGAGAATGTGTACTACATGAGAAGAGGGATACATTTACCAGTGAAACAGGCATGTGACAGTTCAAATAGCATTAGGGTGGCATGGCTGCACTCACTTTACAAAACTGGCTTTATCTGGATTAAGTGGAAAAAAATTGCCCAAAATCCTGTAAGAGATTTTTTTTTTGTTTGTTTCAGTAACTTTCCCATTAAAAAAATAAGTGCTCTGATAAGCAAGAATTAGAAAAACTTAAACCATGAAAGCCAAGCTAGTCCCAAATCAAAAGGATTCCTGCCCTGAAAGCTGGTCATTGCAGATGGACCATTCCAACCATGCAATGCCTTCCTTGATTTGAAACCCACCAACATCAGAGGATCTGACTGCAGAATTAGGACATTTAGATTAACAAAACTGTAGGAACATCTCTGCAAGTCTTTTGTTTGTTCATAATGCATTTCTCATCACAAACTACTTTTGTACCTATTAGCCAGTACCCATTTTACCTTTGGGAAAAGTTTAGCAGATAACTATATTAATGGTTTCTGATAAACACCAAATATATTTTTCCCTGCTTTATATATAAAAAAGAAAAAACACACACAAGAAAATTATATGGCAATCAACATGACTATAAGTCAGATAAGCATCAAGGAAAAATAACAGAAGGAACCATTTTGCTAAGACAGAACAAAAAAATCCAGAAAAAGAGCATAACCTTCAGGAATGTTTAAGGAATAACTATATTTTTCTTTCCAATGTATTTCTGACAGTAGAATTAGAATAATTAACATCTATGTACTGAATTTCTGATGCACAAAAAGAGGATTTGTCCTGTCAAGTCTTTGGACAATATCCTAAACTGTTTTCTAAATGTTGTCTCTTGGGAAGGGGCAGGGGAGAAGGATTGGAAAAAGAAAAGAAATTTGAAAAAATGACATTCTGTGTAATCAGGAACTAGCACATGTCACTCCCAGAAAGTCTTTTTGAATTGTTTAAAAAAATTCCATGATAAACACCACTCAACGGTGATTATAATTTTTTTTGTGGTTTACTATAAATACTTTCAAAGAAAATGAAAATTTGGTACAGGGATTTATTATTTATGACATGGCCATTTTTCTGATATCATATGCACAGAAAGCTTAAAGAATGATGCCTCTACTTAATAGATGTTGCATTTTTAAATACTTATCTACAGCTTCTTGCCTATCTTATCATCTAATATAATAATTAGCAATGTATTTTACTCTATCATTGAATGAGTTTTTGAATATTGGTAAGACTTAGTCTTTGCTTTTATTTCTTCTTTTTTTTTTTATTTATATATTTTGCATAGACACTCTAGAACAAATGAATGACCTTTTCCAGTTTAGAATAAGTCTTTTAAAATAAATTGTAACATTTTTAAATGAAAATACCTTTTCTGGAAAAAAGAAAAAATAAAATGAGATTTGACACTCCATGACCTAAACCCTATGTTCCAGTGAAAGTTTTAAATTAGGTCACAAATGACAGCAATTTATTAGACTGCAGAATAAAAAGTTTAAAAATATTTCTGGTAAGAATCAATCTGTTCTTTCAACTTTCTGAACATTTCTGTGCCAAACTTTTAATATCTTCTATAAAACTCTACTTCTTAACATTGCCTGCAAAAAACTTGAGTATTGTTTGTTCTAATTATATCCTAAGAAAGTGTAGCTTTTTTTCTTCTCTCCATATTTTTTCTGACTAAAATGCTTTTGTGAATGTATTATAGGAATATGAAGCATGATCCCTGCAAATATCAGATTTGGGTTGTACATTGTCATGATGAGTTAGTAGGCCAATCTTAAAGAGAAACTTTTTACGAAGCACCCCACACAAGTGCTACATGCAGTGAATAAACGGGCATTAATTTCTTTTAAAAACATTATACCTGAGGGAATAAAGTAAGTAAACACATCTGAATATGGCTGGTGAAACTCTGATTAATTCTCTTCCTAAAGGGATATGGTTCATATGTAAGGTTTTGCTGGTGTCTCTGAAACTAATAGAAAAGAGTTTTCTTTGTCTCAGAGGTTTTGGGGCTTTTTTAGGGTAGGGAACAGTGAGGAGCCATTAAGCAGTGCCAACAAAATCTATCAGTTTTACCATAATCAACTGTCAAGCCTAACAGCAGGCAAAAAGTCTAATAGGGGAAAGAGAAACAAGGAACTACATAACAATATAGTTTCAATCACATCAAGAGATACTGTACTTGGAATAACTCAGGTCAGAGATGTCTGAGTATCACAGAGCTCATAGCTGACTGAAAGTCCAGCTTACTGACTGAAAGTTTTACCAACTAGATTCTAGTGTTGTCTTCCAATTCAATTGTTTTTTTACTTACAAGTCAAAAATTAGTTTCAATTGTCCTGTGAACAAAAAATAAGCTTCTTCAGCAATTAACAAGGCCACCAAAAAGTTGACCCTGCATTTGTTGACATCTATAACATAGGCATTTCCTCCTTGAACCATTCTGTGACATGTATGACAATCTTAGTTCTGCTACTTCAACATGTTTTGAGGTTCACTGATACCAAAGACAATATAAATTATCATGAGGACAGAATCTGACAAGCTACTGCACGGTGGCAGAAGTAATGCCAACCTTCTGCATGCTCCTGCTGCCTAACAGCACTCCCTCGGTGCACCGCTGAAATACACATTTCTTCAAAGTTCTGACTGCCTTCTCTAGCCTTGTTTCAGCCCAAGCACACTGCTTAACAACACGTGTCCCAATAGGTTCCTTGTTTGCTGCTGTTGGGAACTGTGAAGATCATTCTCCCTGAAAAGGAGTCTGCTCATAGCTCTCAGTGAAGGAGTGTGGCTCTGCAGACTCCTGAACATATATGTGCTATTAACTTCTGAATAATGTTGTCAAACACAATTAAGCAATTAAGACATTTTAGGGACACACTCTGATTGCCCATTTTGCTCTGCTAAAACCTAGAAACAATGTCAATAAAAAAGAAATTTACTATAAATTTGCAACGGTGCAATTGAAAACAGAATGAGGTTATTACTGTATGCGAGTAGTTCTTCTTAAGTCACAGTCAACATGCTTTGTATTTGACTGTGAAAATGTACAAATAAATAACCTTAAATGGCAACTGAAATACATTCTAAGAATATCTAGGATGTACAGCAGTAGACCTGGAGACGTTAGTGTAATGTAACCTATTACCAAGAATAAATGATGGAGGGAAATTGGAGGTATTTTCAGATCACATTCCAGCTACTCCTCAACTGCTAAAACTGTCACTTAGAAGGTCACTGCAGCTTGTAACACTTGTGGTTCCCTTGAGACCACTCTGAGTTAATTCAGATTACATTCATGCTTAAAAATCTGATAACAGGAACTATACAGTGTCATCACTTGGCATCAGAAAACAGCTAATGAGCAAGGGTCTCAAGGCAACTACATTATTTTTTAAGATAAAATAGACCTGTGAGAACTCTGAAGATATAAGACATGTACAACTGTGTTTCTGTTTCAGGAGTATTGACATAAAATCACAAGCCTCCTCCACCCAACAAGTATCTGTTTAGGACTTACCGTTACTCCAAAGAAGCTGGTTTCATTCATAGCGTCCAGAAAAATTTTGCCAAGCTTGTGATTTGTGTAGTTAAAATCTTCAATTTTTTGGTGCTTATTGGTGGCATTCAGATACTTCATTGCCCGCTGCAGGGTCTTGGCTATCACCCATATTCCATCATAGGCATAACCATGAAATTTACTGGATTGCCCATCACCACGCTTAGCATTGTATTCCTCTTCATACTGTTGTGGAGTCTGCAGAGAAGGAAAACTTCAGTTTCACTTCAGTACTTCACATTTTACAGAGTTGCGTCTAAATCAACTGCACTCTCCAATTTAGAGATATGCATGACTAGCACAGGAAAGGCTGCCAAACCAGAAATTAAGAAAGGAAATAAAAATTTTAAAAACATGTGCTGCGTGACTTACTAGACTGATGGTGAGTCTGAGAGAGAGACCTAGGAGGAAGACTGAAAGGCAGTTGTTCTGCTTCTCTGTATGAAGGACAACTGCCTGTTTTGTACAAAACGCTTCAGTCCAGCCACAGCCACTGGCATACTGGTGAGCCCTCGTATCAGAACAGAGACTGAGTCTGTAAATTACCGATCTGATTACACTTTATAGGACAATGGAAATCAAATAACTTTCACTTGAATAACTATTTGCTTAATATGAAATTATCTGAATGGCAATTTGTCTATGTTTTACAAGTTTACTACGCTCTTTATGATTTGCCATCTTGTGACGAGCCACCATTTTGTAAAGATGCCTTCCACGCTCACTCGGTAAGGTACGAAAGACAGATGAAAAAAAGAGGAAAAGCAGCAAAATCAGAGATCTTTATTCACGGGCCAGAGTTTGCATTAATTTGGTCTGCGATAAAATGTTATGTACTTTATGGAAACACTGCATATTCGTGTATTTAAAACAAGCCCCACACTCTGCGGCCTAGTTCCGAGAGGCACAAGTCACCAATGAAATCAGCTAAACATAAAAGTTTTCTGTTTCTGTGCTCAACTATTCAACTTCACATGACACAGCACATGATATCACAGACTGTAATTCAAGCTTCACTGGTCATTTAACTGCAATGTTCACACAGAGAGGAGAGGACAGTTTTCAGGCAAGGGACGTTACTGCTTTTTTTTACTGCAAGGGACCCTGTAGAGAATTGGAATTGATTTCTAAATATTTAAAACTGCAAATCAGTGGAAGGATGAGACTAACTATGACGACTGCCAGCTGTTTTTGTAGAAGAAGCCTTTAGATTCACTTCCCTCCTTGGTGATTTGCTGTGTCAAGACACTGGTGAGACAAGTGGTGGTATAATGCTGGTGAGACAGTTGATGGTATAATAAAATAGTTGGAAGGAAAATACTAACCCTTCCTGATATGGTCTTTTCAATTTTTGAGCTGAGAGGCTCAAAATCCACTCCAATATAACCTTCCATGGCTGCAAGAAGATTTTTGCTGAGACAGTGTGAGGAATTAATCCAGGACTCCCACCAAAGGTTTTCATACCACCCTGGAATAATCCACTGATATTTGCTGCCATACATTTCTTCTTCATACGCCTATAAAGGAAGAAAAACAGAAAAGCTAATAGACATTGTAATAGACATATTAAAAATAAAAGTAATTGCTTTCTCTTCACTTTTTTTTTTCATTATTAATGAAATTATTGTGTAATTGAAGGATACACAAGTATTTTGAACAGTTTAAAATAACTACTCGCTAATAATGAAGACTCCTTTCTTCAAGATTCCCGTCTTCAAAAATTCAAGTCATGAGAAGAGAATTTACTAAAGCCTATTTTGCTTTCAATGGACCATCTATTCAAAAACAGAAAAATAAAATACTATATTTTAAACTGGAGGAGATAAAGAAGAACACTGGTAGAAGTCTCAGCTTTTGCATAGAAAATTCTACGTAATACCATTATTACATGAGTGGCAGGACCACCATGTTTAAACTATTATTATCATCCTAATATCATCCTAACAACTGCATAAACCAAAATATGTTTAAACAAGAAATCTTGGATCCTAGGCACTATCAAATCACAAAGTTGCAAATATGAATTACACGACTGTGCTAAAATTTGGAACACAGGGACATTAAGTAGTTTATTCCGAGGAGCATTAATCAAGAATAAATTGATAAAGCAAGCAAATTTCAGTGTTTTCTTTTTTTTTCAGAAACAAATTTCTTCAAGTCAAATTCCATATAGTTTGCGTGCTGAATACAGCCCACTTTACTCCAAGATACTGAGATGATGGTTACCTCCTTTCAATACGTAGCACATACATGTAACAAGAAACAGAAATGCCTTATTAGTCAGGCACATATGCTCGTGCCTAAAAGCTGATGTATTCACAACAGATATTCTATTCCATTGACAATGAAGAGTGTTCTAGGATAAAATTAGCAAATTTTATCTTAGATGTTTCTCTCACTGTCTTGTAGCTAGATATTTTTCTTTTGACATTTCAGTCAGACTACATTTCAAAACAGCATGTTTCATGGCTCTTTAGCTTCTAATCCAAGCAATGCTGGAGATACAAGACATGCTCATAAGATAAAATTTCCACTTTTTAGAAATACATGGTGCAATCTTAGAGCTCTTAAATGGAAAACCACTACATTTCACAGAAAATGTTACAGGAGGAGGAAATTATGAGAATGCAAACAGGACGTATTAGTCATTCAGAACATAACTGTTTTGAAAAGTAGCCCAAAGATGATACCAAAAGCCTACCAGATAAATAGAGAAGAATAGCAAAAAAACTGAGATAGGACAGCCTCCTAAATACGTTAATACCCAAATTAAGATTGGGCTTTAAATCTGTGAAGGCTATTATAATCTTGCCAACTCATAAATGTATTACACACAAAGCAGATTTATTTGGCCCCTGGTCGCAGGAGCTTTTGTTCTGCTAAAATCAAATTTCATGCATTTGTATACAGAACTGCTTGAAAGTGCTCCTGTCTGAAACCCATTGCCTTGCATCTCATATCTTTGTTATTCCACAATCCACATAAATTGTTTGTCTTTCTCTTGCTCATTTATTCTACTCTTCCAGAAACACATCTGCTTTTGCCGTCCTGCCCATTTCCACTCCTGTACAGCTGTGGTGACACTGCAACCCATGTCCACCTGCAAGGAAACCAGCAACCCCATCCAGCAGTACTTCCTGATGTCTAAAAGAGTTTCCATTACATAATTAGGTTATTCAAGATCTTTCAGTGATACAGTGTCTTTTATTTGACAGTCTTCAAATCACTGAAGACCCAAACTGACACAGAATATTGCTGTCAGAGAAGGACAATCTTCTGTAGCTTCTCCTGCACTATAAAGGTTAAAGTATCAGATCATGGGTTGCAATAAAGTACTGGATGTGAACTATTCTGAAATCGGAGCTGTTGGAAGTTTGCTGTTTGCACAAGCATTTAAGCCCATTTCCTGCATAATCTGTAAAGGTTCTGGGATATGTGCTGAAAATAGGAAGTTTCAAAATAGCCAGAAATTTAATCCCGGAAACAAGGGATCATTCCCAACAAGGTTGCACTGAAACTTTCACTTTCCTGCAAGAATTTGGTTTAAAAAAAAACAAACAAAAAAACCCAACCCAGCTCTTCAGTTGAGATCTTATGTATGTGATAGGGCTTGAAGGGTAATCTGGGGAATACAGAAGGAGCAAAATCAGCACCACAAAACTGTGACCGTGCAGTAGTTTTTCTAGTGACAGTACAGTTCAGGCATTTCAGTGTTTGAATTCCAGAAGACTTAAAAAAAATACTTTTGCCACCATTTCCTCCCTGTTAATTCTGCTAAATGGAGATTATTTTGATGCTGAAAAAAACACATTTCCTTTAAATATGTGGATCTTTATGGAACTCTTTGAAAACCACTTTTTACAGGTTTTAGTTTCTAAGGGGAAGATCTGTTGGCATACAAGAGCAAGACAAAGAAGGTTTACATGTGCTTTGTACAATCAGAGCAGCATATTCATATATATTCCCTAATCTTTCCTGCATACTGTAACTAGGCTGCAAAGTCTCAAACTGCTGTCAGCCAGACAGGAAACTGTCCTGGACATCTTTTACACAAAACCTTGACAACCTGTGAGACTGAATTTTTTAATTTTTAAAAAAACTTTTCATTCTTCAAGAAGAAAAGGGCTACCTCTTTTCACTTATGCCCTGCAATAGGACAATGGATACAAGCTGGAGCACAGAAAGTTCCACCTCAACATGAGGACGAACTTCTTTACTGTAAGGCTTCCAGAGCACTGGAACAGGCTCCCCAGGGAGGTTGTGGAGTCTCCTTCCTTAGAGACAATTTTAAGACCCATCTGGATGTGTTTCTGTGTGATCTGCCCTAGACTAGATGGTCCTGCTCTGGCAGGGGGGTTGGACTTGATGATCTCCAGAGGTCCCTTCCAACCTCTAACATTCTGTGATTCTTGTTTGAATCCATAAAGAGATTCTTATTTATAACAAAGAAACTTCTGTAAGAGATCTTTCTACGTGTAGTAAACAGTTACCAGCAGTTTGTGTAACAGGCTTGTTAAACGTTACCACCACTGAATTTCTGTCATGTTTTCATCATGTCGGCGTGGACACATCCTATTTCCCACCCCTCCAAGGATGTAGACTTCTGAATTGCAACGAACCTGCATCTGTTTCTCATTAAAAATCAATAGTGCCTTTAACTCCAAGGTGGACATTCAGCAGAAAAAATCTATCAGCTCAAGGAGAACAGAGTCTAGTCCTTTTGTATAAACCACGCTGATTAAGCCTGGCTTTAGTCACTGTTAAATGTTTGCTGAAAGAACCACCTAGAGGTCGTGCAGTGACCTATGTGTTAGTCATATTCATTAACTGTCTTCAGACAGATAATTGTATCAGCCAGACATCAGTCTTGATGTGTAAATGGTGATACTGCATTATCTCTATGGATTAAAGAAAATACACTGGAAAAAGTCCCACTAACATTTTTTTAAAAAATAAAATTTTCTGCAAAACTGAAGTTTTTGGGAAGATGTAATGTCACATTAATGAAATTTCAAATTAAAAAGAGACGATGTCTACCCAATACAGTTGACCAGTTTGATTGTTGAGGTGTTAAGTTTTGAGCAAAACACCCTGATTTCTATTCCATGAAAACTATCACATTCATCCCACTGCAGTGAAAATAACAGCAGAAAGCTAAGATTTCCCATAGAATGAAAATTGCTGGTTTCAACACTAGTGTTAAATTAATAGCTAAGCTTATTTAAATCATTGTAGGAAACACCTGCTAACATTTGCTTTGACTTGAATTAGTCCTGTGATGTTTTAAATTTTGCCACTAAATTACGTGTGTGTGTGTGCATGTGTGCAGAAAAAGAAGGCTGGAAAGAGACCGTATGACCTTCTAAAACTACCTGAAAGGAAGTTGTAGCAACATAGGGGTCTGTTTCTTCTCACAAGTAACAAGTGACTGGAAAGAGCCTCAAGTTCCACCAGGGAAGGTTTAGGTTGAATATCAGGCAAAATTTCTCCCCTGAAAGAGTTGTTAAGCACTGGAACAGGCTGCCCAGGGAAGTGGTGGAGTCAGCATTCCTGGAGGTATTTAAAAGACATTTAGATATGGCACTAAAGGACATGATTTAGTGGGACTTGGCAGTGCTAGGTTTGCAGTTGAACTTGATCTTAAAGGTCTTTTCCAAAATAAATGATTCTATGATTCTATATAAACTCCAATGGATATCCTGAGGAAACCTCACAGCACATGATTGTTGAATCCAGACAGAAAACTGAGGCAGACTTCAGACATTCTTCCTACCTACATAAATCATTAGCAAATAATATTCTGGTTATAACCACAGTCAAAATAAAATAAAATAAAATAAAAAAATATCTTGCACTAGCACCATAGCACCTTCTTTTAACAAACTCAAGGCCTTTTTCTGGGTGACGTCAACCACCTCGCAAAATATAACAGGGAATCACAAGTGAAACTTGTCTGAAGATACACCTGGGGAAGGGGGTTAAAAAATTTGACATATGTAAATTATTGTGCCCTTAGACACATAGCTGTAGGAGTGCATGAGCCAACAATATATTTTATGACTAATAACAAGCTTACTGACATAGTGCAGTGCATTAATGTATAAATGACCTATTTTGAACTGCCCTCTCCTGCATTCAAGTCTCCTGCTGAACATATAAATACATTTATACAAGCCTAAATACACAGTCTCTCAGACTTCTCCAGGCTCCATAAAAATACACCTTATTATTTTTGACACTAATGTACTTTAGATCAGCCACCACTCTTTAAACTGCCCTGAGTTAGGCACACTTCCCATGTTAGTACCAAACCACTGCCACAGGAAGCTTCAGTGGGCATTTAGGTAAAAGGGACATCCCCCATCTGAAATCCTTCAAACTAGAGTGGTCCAGACAAGAGGACACCCTGCCCCTCTGAGGTCTTCTCAGATTTCTTCAGTGGCCTCACATGTACACAGACATGGAGAAGATCTGTAGAGGAAAGCAACTAGATACTAAGGGTAGTGGCATAAGTGAGGCCAATCTCTTGTCTTACATTGGAAGACATTTCTGATTAGGAGTGCCCAGCTGAGGACATGCAGCCCAATCACAAGAGATCTGAGGAGGAGCTGGGCTGTGGAAGAACCTTTCCTTCTTCCAGGAATGGAAAAATGGGAGACTATCTCTGTTGATTCAATTTAAAAGCCAGAGCAAAAAAAAAATACAAAGACCTATCAGAGATTAGAAGAATGAAAAAGAAAATACTCATTTACATTTTCTTTTGAATGCAAAGAGATTTTGTTCCTTCCAAATATACTCTACTGTCTCCTTCCCAGATTTTGCCAGCAGCTGGGACAGATGCTGAGTATGAGCCCACATGTGTCTGAGGCACATGTAGCACTTCAGATTTTGAACTTCTGTCTTTCCTTTCTTTGCTTGGATAGGTAACAGTCTCTCCAAGTGAACACTAAAACACACTCTGAAACTCAGATATCATCATCATTGCTTTTCAATTATATTTCAATTATATTTATTGTGTTCTTAAGTCATACAGAATTAATCTAGCTATTTAAACTAAGAATTCAATACCAATACAAAATTTAGGCTACTAAAAAATGCCTGTTTGGGACTTTAGGGTTTTTTTTTAGCAGGTACAAATAAAGACCCAAATTTCAGTCCTATTTCAATGGCAATCACACCGTGCACGTTTGCAGCACATTCACACAAACAAACAAATGGTGAGGATAGGGAATTTTATGCATGCTGGTCTACCATATTTCTTTTACCTCAAAAAAACCCCTTTATCTTTTACAAACTAAATTCACTTTTGTGTAAAATATGTAAAATGTACAGCAGTGAAAAATGAATGACAACTGTACAATTAGAAACATTTTAAGTGTCAGAAATGTCTAGGGCTGGCTAGTTAGCACATATAGGAACTGCTTGAATTTCTCCTTCTGGCAAGGCAAAGCATGCAAAGCCACGCACGTGCAGACATTATCATCAGAATACAACTCTTCAACAAACCTTGCAGTTCTCTATCTGCTGCTACATATACAAGTGCTTCCCTGGATCTGACATGAACAGAAATGCTCAAGCTCAATTTGGCATTTAATTCCAATACAGGAAAGCAATAAGAAGCAGCTAACCATGTAGTCCATGCCTCAGTTCCACTGAAGTCAAGTACAAAGTATTTTATTGGATCAGAAATGGAGGTAAGGATGTGAAACCTCCTTTTAGCATATAAACCTTGACAGTGCTGAACCCCATGAGGAAATGTGCACGCTCAGATTATTTTTTATTCAGAAGTAACACATTCTTTATTCTGATATGCAATTAAATATATTTACTTACACAGCAGAAAACTTTCACAGCCATTTCCTCATCAAACTGGCCAAGGATTATCCGAACATCATTACCCTGCAGATTGAACAAAATACGTGGCAGTTAAATACAGGCACAGCCTTTCAAGAAACCACTTCAGTTGGCCCTTCAAATCATGTAGAGAGTCAGCACAGATTACAGCTGCCAACAGTAGAATGAATTCAGAAGTATTCCATTTTCCTGGAGTTCAAGAACTTGAAATACTGCAAGACAGCAGCTGAGGTGTTTGAAGAACACATTAAGCAACAGCAGTGGGAATAAAACTGTAATGTTTATCTCATCAACTATTACTACTCAATAACACTAAAATATGAAATATTCTTTTTGATCCATCGCAAGATTTCTTTTAAAATTTTGCATATTAAAACCAGCTGAAATTATATGCTTTTCCCTGCTTACATGAATTAGTGCTATAAAGTTAAGAGACTGGAGATCTGTGGGATAAAATGCCTTGATATTATGCTCACTTTAGTTTTTTTTAAAGGTTTTACTCATACAACATCTTCTCCACAGTCACTATAACACATTGTCAATCTCACCTCTCCTTCTTCCTCCCACCTCCACACATTAAAAAAAAATAATCACACTTTAAGAATCTATGACTGAAGTAAAAAGAGATCATTTTACTTTCATACTTGGAAACATATTAAGAAAATACTCCTAAATTCAGGACCATATGCAGGAAAATATTTCTTCAGAAACAAGGCTAGCTTTTTTCTCATGTGAAAAATCGCTGTTAACATCTATAAAACACAGAACAGACAGATTTTATGACTTAATATTACCTTTCATTTTGCACAAAAGCCGAGCTCTCTGCAAAAGTTTGAGCAAATTTGATGTTTTATTTCTTTTGTAAAACACTTGTTTAGAATTACTAATAGCACTTTCCCTCCCCAAGGAAAAAATAAACAGATGATTCAGTATGAGCTTCAGTGGCAACAAACATTTCAGTTTTAATTAAATCAATTTATCAAAGATTTCCATTTAGATAATTTCAATGTTTATTTCCTGTTCAGCAGAAATATTATGATGGACAGTACAAGACACTACAATGCTTCTGCAATTCAATGCATGAATCTAGTACCACTCTTAGCATGGTTAAAGTCAGAAAGAACATAATATGCTTTGCTCATTCTCAATCTGTGCATTTTCAATAAGGCTACTTCTTTTTAATTTTATATTTAGCCATAGATTCATAAAGTAATGTAAGTCTTACTGAAGTAGATCAGATTATTTTTAAGCAAATCTAACAAGGTCACATGAAACTAAATAAACAAATTACATACATTGCAGCAATAGTATTACAGTTTTTGAAAGGTCAACAAGTAGTTTTAGGAATTATGCAAATTCCTAAAAAAAAACCCCTTCTGATCCATTGTTTCTATTTTCACATTTTGAAAATAATTTTGGTCATTCTTGGAACTCTGAATCTGAGTTGCTTGACCTCTTTGAACATAAAAATGCAGATTTGATATTTGAAAAAAGAGTAGTAGAGTTTGGACAAAAAAATAAATGACACAGCACCTAATTATTAAACATAGTCTTGAATTTATAAAAAATCCTTTTCATTTTATAATAAAGTGAATAAAATAAAAAAAAAAAACCACAAACACAACAAAATCAAACCAAACCAACAAATGTGTGGCCTGCTAGTTTGTGAGCACCAGAGCCCGTAGGCAGCAAGTGGGGCAGAGCCCAGCAGCCCATACGCAGTATTGCTGCCCGCGGGCTGTGCTGCAGCCTTCAGACAGGTTGTAGTCTCCGTGGTGCATGGTGCCATCCCTTAAAACATTGCTTCTACCTGACTATCCCATAAACCACAGTACATTTCCCACAATGACTGTTCTTTTCCTGTAGAGCACTACAAGAACTAAATCCAGCCTATTTTTTTTCTCAGAAATACCCTCTAATTTTAACAGCCTTACTGTATGCAAGGATTATCTGATATAATATCATTGTGCAATTAGTTTGACAATAGCACTCAGACCCAAATCCTGTACATTCAGCCACATGAGTATGTGGCTGGCTCTACAACTCCTTTAGTCTATAAAGCAAGCAGGCACATGAGAAACTCATCTTGAAAATGCTTTTCACCCAAGGCATAGTAGACCACTCATTTTACTATTGGCAGTCAATCCTATTTTCAAACGTGTTCTGCTCTTGTTCAGGCACCCAAGCAAATGTGTGTCTTTACTGACTTGTCCAGGAGATCCCAGTTCTGAACATCTGACCATCTAAATATCTGAATAAGGATTCAAGAAGTTAGTTTTTCTGTCAGGCAGGAATCTTCCCTTCCAGTATGAGCCAAGCTTCCAATGCCAGAGCAGGAAATCTGCTAAGTATGAGAAGCACATCCAAACCAAGTTCTCAAGAATCCCTGATGCTTAGCTTGAAAGCTTCATGACTCAATCTCAAACATAAGCTGTGGCTCTAGAACTTGACAATCTCTTATCTTCCTGTCATCCTTGGGATGTATGATTGAGCCAAGATGAAATACCCAGATGTTCTTTTTCCTAAATTACTTCGTTTTCATGTTAACATATAAATTACTGGTTTTGAAGAAGGACACTAACATCTCTGCATTCATTACAAGATTTAGATGGTATACAACCACAAACTGAATGAAGAAGATCAAAAGACGTTCTGTTATCACCTATGAAAGTGTAAGTTATGAGTCCGCCATTTCAAGCATTTTGCCACTGAAGAGTAGCAGAAGAAAGTTGATTCTGATTTTTTTTTCCAAAGATTTAAAAGTTATAACCTTAATAATGTTATTTTGCAAGTTTTTTATTGCGGGCAATATGCTAAGAAAAAGGAGGTTTCTCTGACAGAAATATGAATCCCCAGTTCTCCTCCACGTTTCTGCAGGTATTAATCCTTTAAGCAGTGCGGAAAATCAGAATTTACATATGCTCAGCACTGGCAAGATATGGATACAAGAAAATAATGCTGGGAGTCAGTAAATAAAATGACTGGAGGTAGGATCCAGTGAGAAAAAAGAGGGCACATGGGAAGGAGAGACAGACCCAATAGGAATTTGAGTAATAAGTATTTAAACTTTTTAGGCAAAGATGGAGCAAACAGCTGGGAAGGTAGCGGCAGGATTAAGACCATTATTGAATAAAAAGCTTAGGAGGGAGACTTAGGACTTTTTAAGGGTATGGCAAAGAGGAAGTTTAACAAATAACTGGTGTTAGAACAAACACAATCACAGAAAGCCCAGAGGAAAACGGTACACAATCTAGACAAAGATACTCAGAGGGTGATGAGAAGTAACAGAAGCAGAACATAGCATTGAGTAAGCAAGGAGCTTTAGACTGGGATGAAGATCCAGAATGAGACTTGGACACATAGAAGGAACTAATTTAGGAATGTCTGTAAAATGTCTTTTCCTCTTTGGCGCATAGCCTTTTTCCTCTGCCAATGACATACTCCTCAGTAAACCTTCATCCGCCCAACTCTGCTTTTTGCATCCCCTTTCACATTTTTCCCAAATTTGTTCCTGAAGAATTGCATTCAAGATGGTAAATAAGCATCTCTTTGATGCTAGGTTTGAGTCTGCTGGCTTTGTCCTGCCTAAGAGAGACTAAAGCTTCGAATTCACACAGGACATAGCTCAAATCCCTTGCAGAGATTTTACCTGGGTGGATAATGAAGTTTAACAGAGATGGGTTTATGTCAGCACCCACAGGTCAGGATATATGTCCACATTATAGTCTTATGCAAAGAGATACATTATATGCTTGCTGGGACATAATTTTTTTCCTCCTTCAGTTACACTGTTAACTGGCTATCAACCAGTATGATTTCCTGACAAGATATTCCTTTACATCAACTCTTCTGGGACTGACACAAGTTAACACAGTGTAACTCTCTTTCAGGGATCAAAGAAGTCACCTACTGGATCCCAGCAAGTGTCAAATATTCTCTCACAGAACTGTTAAATTGCTTCGATGGAGCTAAAGCATATTTGACAGAAGAGTTTTTAATTCATGGAACTAGGCAAGTGATCTATGAGATGATTAAAAACATCCCAGGGGGAAGGCAACTCCCAAAACTGCACTTACATAAAAAGACCAATGTTTAGACCATTTGCCAGATGGTGAGCTGTCATATTTACTCTTCTTAGAGATTAGAGTAGCAATATCAGCATTTAAACTTTGCCCCTCAGTAAGCAATACATATGTTCCCATATGGACTAAAGTTCAAACAAGAAAATGAAGAACACTTATATTTCATTTATCCACAGTTGTGGTGGACTCTCCATAAAAACATGTTTTATAAATGCAGTCTATAGCACAATCTCAAAAATGAACGATGCTCTTGCTCACTTCTTTCTTTCATATAGGTGAGGATATTATTCTTCCACTAAATATAGTGTCTATGGTACTGCTGGTAGCTGCGTAGTATAAACCCTGAAGACAGTGAGGATCAAGACATCTAAGATCCTCTACTGAGGGTTGAAGAACAACTTGTCTCCTCTACTGCCATTTCTAACAGCTGTAGATCTGAGGCACTCTTCAGCCTTTTCAGGGTTGTTGAGTGATGCACATTATGCTGGAATAGGCAGGTTTGTTTGGTTTATTTATTTATTTATTTATTTATTTTGTTTCTTTGTTTCCCTTCCCAGTCTGCAGAGCTTTCCTTCTGTGATCAGATTTTAATCTGTCTCATTTCTAATGAATAACACCACAATGTTGTATTACACAGCTTTCCAGAGAGGGATTGCTACAATATCTCATCTGCCAGGAAAAGTCGATGTCTTGGCAGGCTCTTTATGAAATATCTAAATTGAACAGCTCAGATAAACTGTCTTATTTTCTACCATGTATCTGACAGTCAAGATGTTATCAATAAATCTACTCAAAGCTGGGTAACTTTGTCAATAGAGGTATCCACATGTTCTGCCTTCTAAATGTCTGATGTCCACTCGAAGAACTCTAGACGAGACCTGAGCTGTGGAATCACTGATGGTGAAGGTGAACTAGAGGACATCAGCTCACACCATCATAATGTGCTGGCAAAACCTGCTGATGTCTATGTTAGTGTGCGTGTCACTCACTCAGGCTGCGGCCCCATCCAAACCTGTTCACAGCCCAGAATTTTAGAATTTAATTAACTTGACTGATAGAATGAGAGCTCATGGTCAGTCACTATCCAAAACACCTATTGTATTTGGGAAATCAGATGGAAACTGTTTCATTGAACGAATTCATTTATTGCAATTTTTTTTGTCCTATGTGCAAGATATAAGAAAGCTGGAAGCAGGAGTGCTATTGCTCATAAGATTTGCCTGTGCATGCTTAGCATTTTTAAACTTTGAACTTGATGTACAAATGTATATCCTCCAACAACCCTACCTCTGAACACAAAAATGAGTTTTAAAGATACCCTTAAGCCTAAATTTACTTTCCAACCATGATTCAAAGAGGCTGGAGTAAACGCAGTAAAAATTAAGGTATTGCTGGGAAAAACAGAAAACAGATTTCTGCAAATCATACCAGATATTTTTATTTTATATTGAAGAAGTGTTAATTTAATTAACTGAAACTGTGTTTACAAAAATAAAATGTATTTTGCACCTATTTGAATCACAAGTACAGTAAGCAGACACCAGTTTACCAATATTAGGCTTCCATCTTGAAGAAAGGAATGAACATTTTTGGAATTGGATAGCTAAGTTGTGCCTAACATACAAACCTAAGGACAAGTAACCTTATATTCCTGTCAAGAATAAACAATTGCCTAGATATTGCTTATTTATTGTTGTAGTAATTTGTTCTGAACAAGAGCTCAAGAGATAACTTTAATATATTGTTTGTCGGAGTCTTCTTGTCTTCCCTATAAAACAAACAGTGTGTTGTTGACATACAAAAGGGCTAGAATCTCATTACTTCTTCTAAAATTCAGCCTAAATACACATGCTTCCATGGATCTTTTCTTTTTATTATATCATCCATTGGTTTAAATAGCTATGCCTTCAGATTACTAGTTTTCTGACACCAAGGGTTAAAGAACTTGTAAAAAATTTGGACTATACCAATGTCACAAACTAGCATCTTTTCAACCCCAGATAGCAAATGGCATCTGACTTAGACAGGGTAGATACAAATTATTTGCTATAAATATAATCTTTATTTGTTTATGCTTTAAAAATTCAGGCTTGCATCTCTAGACCATGGGAATAATAAAGCACGTTTAGTTTACCATGCTTCAGACCTTTTCCAGTTCGCTTCAGTGGTGGTCTGGTCTTATACAGGTCAATATCCTTGCTTTCATTTTAGGTTTTTAATACCATTCAGTTTATTAGGGGTTTTAAAATCTGTTTTACACATATTTGTGTATCTGCAAGATTATGGCTTTGATTATATGTCATATGTATTTGATGCCAGCAATGATTTGATCTTTACAATTTAAAAGCGCTTTCTCTGTTCAGTCATTATTTCATTTTCATATGCAGTTTAAGATTTGTATCTCCCTTGTCTAGTTTATTGTTGGTTGCACTGCATAGTAATGCTAAAATATAGTTTTAATTTTAGGAGATGGTAGGAACCTAATAAATCATTATAATATGAGAAGGATGGCAAATTATTCTGCTATCAAATTTATTCTTCCTTTTTTCCCTACGATTCATATGAAAGAATACAGATGATATAAGCAAAGAATTCAATCTAAAATGTGCAGTGAAGCTAATGGAAAGATGCTCAATGCTTTTGCTACATGCTAATTTACCTTAAAAGGGTTCTAGTTCCAAACTTCAAAAGCTTTCACATGTATTATCATTAAGACTGGTGCTTTAGGTGCAAACATTAAGCCAGCAACAAGTTGCTTTACTTAGTGTCTCTATGGGAAAAATATTTATTATATGCATAGACATTCATCCACTTAAGCAGGACTAGGTCCTCAAAACACCATTCGTTAATCTTGTCATGCAACGTAATGCAGCAGTATATCATTCTTATGCAAATTTTGTTTCATTAGCCTTCTTCATAAGAAGAAAAAAAAAACAAAAACGAAAACAAACCAAATGCCATGACATAATCACTACTTTCTCTTTACTCCTCAAACAGCAGCTCATACCTTAAGCTTCTTTACACTTGTGCAAGGATCATTAGAGAAACTCTCGGTATCTGAAATCTCAATGTCTTCACCATACAGGACACCAGTCAGATCATTCCTCACCTGTCAGAAGTTGAGAAAAAGGCAAATTAGTGAACAGAGACTCTGTGAGGAGGAAGCAGATGGGCTATATTTGTCACTGTAACGACAAGCAACGATCTTGATGATGATATATGCACCCACATTATTTTTTCAGTTTCACCTACCATCTGATCAAAGCACTGTTCTTTCACCACCGTAATCAACAAGTGTAGTACATAAAGAGCTTTACTATGTGTGATGAAAAGATCACAGTGGGCTCCTACTTTGTATCGTGGTGATGGAAAATTCTTTTGTTTTTCTAGCATGGTTAAAACCAAAAGCTTTCTTATAGCCAAAATGTTGTTTGAGACTCTATACAGGGAAAAGACTCATCAAGAAAACTCTTACATATTCTCATTGCTGAGTTCTGATTTGAAAACACTCTCAGCTGATGTAGCATGAATCAGCAGAGCTTAGCTTGTATCAGTTAGGGATCAGTAAAGCTTAATGAACTCCAGTGTCCTCCCCCTTTCTTGGAGCAACACTTCTGTGTCCTCATCATACTATTATGATCACATTAATTGCACCAATTGTCTTTTTTATTTGTCTGTTATAACAGAAATAGGAGAAGAATATCGCAGTGTAAAACAAGCATCTCAAATGCAAATGCAGAAAATACAAAACATGGAAGAGAAATAAATGTGACATTAAATAGGAAAATTTAGAAGTCTACAAATCATATACAGATACTTTCCAACAACCCATACAGGGGGTCATTGGAAAGTTCACTAAAACTATCATACTTTAGCTAGAAAAAGTAAAATTTTCCTTAGCTAACAGAATTATATTTTCCAAAGGCACACAACTTGTCATATGCTTCTACCCTGTACTGTCCTACTTTCTTCTGTAAAATATTTTTTTTAGTTCTAGGTTTCCTTTTCTGATATTTTCTTGATTTTTTATTAAGCCATTTCTAGTCATTCTTTTAATCTCAGAGAAACTAGCTTAACACTGCTCAGCTGATATGAGCAGAAAACCGCTGATTCACCAAATACTGGTTAGTCAAATTTTTGACATTATTGACATGAGAAAAATTATAAAAAATACACGTTGAATATTATGAAAATAGACTAACACTTACAGATAGGCTTCAGTGGAGGGCACAAGGCTGACATGATTATAAAAATTACATTTCAAAGTGTCTACTGCTTGCTATGATTCCTTCCCTTCAGAACTTGTTCATGAACTCTGCAGATGAAGTATTCAATTGCACGTGATTTTTTTTCCCTGAGAAACAATATGATTTTTTTTAAGAGAAATACTTATTTAAATTCAGCCACAAATTTCCTTGACACCCCCCTGGCCCCATCTGCTACAAGCCCTACACTATGTGGCTTTCAGAGCTCTTGGACTTTTCGTTGAACTACTGACCAACCCTCCAAAAGACACACCTTATTACATTTGGTGCCAAAGAGGTTGGAATCCTTTTCCCTTAACTGCCACAATCAGATATTGGATGCTTTTCAGATGCATCTGTTGTGGAGATTTTGCCAAAAGAAAGATGTTTCTTTCCCATTATCACAAGATAGTAGGCACTTTATAAGAATTTACAAGGTTGACAGTGTTTTTCTAGAAGACAATGTTTTTTTCCCCTTTCAATGTTATGACCACTAGTCTGACACATATCATCTTGTGTCTGGTCTAGGGGTATTTTCAATAAATATTCCAGCCTTTGTTTCCTATTTCTATACTTTTTTCCCCACCATCTTCAGGTTCTTTTCCTTCTTCCTTTCTATCTGTTCTATCTCATAGAATTGAAACTTGTGGGGTTCTTTCCTGCAGAAGTTATTTATTTCTTTCAAATAAATTTAACTATAGAGTCATCTGAATTGGATTTGGGTCCAACATCAGAATTTGCTAAGGAGCTGCCAATTCCTGTAGCAAATGTTGCAATTCTGGATTAAATTTGTGAAACTTGGAATACAAAATGCTGTGTGTTTTGTTTCAGCAGTTACATGCAGTCCTGGAAAGTAGATCACCAGTGGTACAAGCAGTAGAGCTCAGCAGTAATTCTTTCATTCTGCCAACTTTGAGTAAAGAAAATTGCAAACTACTGTACATCTGCTTCTTTATTGTGTAGAATAGGATAATTTCCACTGGAGGAAACTGCTGTAGAATGTTGTAACAAAACTGCATTAAGCTCTGGTGGGAATCTGCAGCTCCTAAGTAAATCTTGCACTGGCATAATACAGAAGTAGTGTAGTTCCATGTGGTTTTAGTCCCTTGTTAACAACTTAATGAAGGCTGTAGTTCTGTATCTGTTTATAGAAATTTTACACACTTTAAAGATACCAACTTCTCATTTTCCCAAAATGAGAATTACCAGACCTGATGATCAATAAACCTGGAAGGTTTCACAAAGCACTGCTGGAGACCCTGGGCGTTCACTCACAGTAAAAACCAGAGCTTTTACGCTGCTCTGCATACAAACCTAGATAAAATCAGTACTTCACTATGCTACATATTTAATAGATCAATGTGTGCTCAACCTCAAAAAATTACTGGGGTGCAAATATGCCTACCCAGGAGCAAGCTCCAAAAAATGAAAAGTTTAGATCGTTGTGTAATGATATGCAGAAATGTGTAGAAAGTGGCAACAAGTGAAGATGGGATGCAAGAGAAGTGGCTTTTACTCCTCATTCTGCCAGAGCTCTTTTGTGATACAGCTCACATGAGCAAAATAAGATTTTAAAGTTTGCTACCAAGTCTGGCTGTGCCTTTTTTTTGTGAATAGGATGGCAGCAATACTTGCCCAACTTATAGCTGTTGTATCAAATTCAGTGATGTCTGAGAGGCAAACAACAAAGTCCCTGACCCTGCACCTGAGGGAATAAATACAGGGGTTTTGAGCAGCCAAGGACTTGCACTGCCAAGAAAGAAATAAATTTCTTTAATCTCTAGAAAACTGAAAGTGTAGATAGAATGAATAAATGGGTTGTAAAAAAAAAGAAAAAAAAGGGAAAAAATAATCTGGATGAGACCAAATTGCAATAGTCTTGTGGTCTGTATCAGGAAGGATGGGTGCAGGTTTAAGGAAAGGAAGTGAATGCTGGGGACCGGCAAGGGCTGGCTGCTCCCTAACGAAGAAGCACTTGAGTGCAACAACACAGACTCCAGACCAGGGACCTCACCAGCCAGCACTCCAGTGAGGGGAGCAGAACACACATGTACAAAACAGCCAGCTTCAGCCCTGAGACTACACCTCCAGTCACCTTCACATCCATAACGGAGGTCCAGGGTAAAGCTGGGAAGGCCATCCATGAGTCTGGGACAGGATCATGTCTGGTGAGAGTGGGCAGGGTCAGACACGGTCCTGTGATTGCTGGGCAGGTTCATACCGACAGGACAGGTCTGAGGATAGGGCATGAAGTGGATCCAGACCAACAGGGTTCGTGCCAGGCATGGCTGTGATGGAGAGAGAGACCAGTGATCCCACAGCATTACTGGGGCAGGGACTGGCGGCACCGGACTAAGCTGAGACGGGGTCCTGGGTCCTGGGTTGGGAAGCAGCCTCAGCAGGCTGGTCAGGGACAGAAAGGGTTTTGGTGCTCTCAGAGCACTGACACTGAATTTTGAGTTTTGGCATGTTTTTTACTTCCTATATGATCTCTGTATGATGATTTCTTATGTACAATATAGAAATAACTCATGAGAATATAAAAGTTGCACACGTACTGATTTTGTTTTAGGTGAACAGATATTGCTCACTTCAGTGGGATTATTAGTGAAAGCACCTGCTTACCAGGAGTAAAGAGCTAGCACCACGTAATTTCATTTTCATCAAGCCAATTTTATCCCTTTCCACCAGGCACAGAGTAAAGAAAGGTGATATTCCTGATGGATTGCCAGTCTAAAGATGATAGTTTGGTTTCAGGGGTCTCTACGGATCAACAGCTCAAACTAGGTATCAGATTATACATTTAAACATGCAGTTTGCTCATTTAATCCTAACTCTGCCACTTATAAAATAAATTAAATAATTTTTAGATTAATCATACTACTTTGCTTTTAACAGATATTTTTGATGACCTTTTGGTTCACTAAAGCTGCATGTAAGTACTGCAAGCTAAATCCTTGTTGTTCAGGACAGTCTAATCCTACCAGATGTTGATCATAAGAGACTCCTAATGAATTCAGAACTAGTCAGACCAGATGGATTATACAGTCAGATATTTTACCAAGATTTCTTGCTGCTGAGATTTATTCTGTGTGCTTTAAAATATACTGCAGGAGTTTCAGTACAGAAATAAATATATGTGTACAAAACAAATACATGATTTATAAGAAAAATTATTTCCTCATTACATGGACAAAATGTAAATTGTGAGTAATTGCAAAGGACATCACAGTTTCTGGGATTAATAAAGATAGAGAGAACTCACTATATATGATGCACTACAAGCAAACGTAATTATCCCTATTTCCATTCCAATGAAACAAACACATTACTCACATTTAGAGGCTTAGAAACACTGAGTGAAACTTACTTTCAAGAAATACTGTATCTGGAGAAGAGAAATTGTGTAATACAAAATACAGATACTTGTCATTGTCCTTAGATACAGATGGAAAACTGAGGCATACTTTCATTAATATACACATCATTTGGGATTACAAAAATGAAAGAGAAAGTAGAACCTTATTTTGAGCAGAGAGACAACACAAAAGATAAAGCACAGATAAACCAAAAGGAAACACTAAAATATTATTTTAGGTATTAGGAAAGAGTCTTGCTTTCAGGAAAATTAAAAATCTAAATATATCTTCTTGCATAAAGGAGAAATAAAATCAGAGATGCGTTGGATATCCTGCTCTCTTCTAAAAGGAATCAGATTTTTTTAAAAAAAACCATGTTATCGTGTGTGTTTTTCAGGGTGAGAGGAAGGGAAGATGGAACCCTAGGATATTGGTTTCTTACTTGGGAAAACTGTCAGTATGGGTTTTCAAGAAAAATACAATTTTTCTTTCTTTTTTTTTTTTTC